ACTACACTATTACTATACACTACACTATACACTACACTATACACTACACTATACGTAGCTTGAGCGATTTATTACTACTACACACTAATATACACTACACACTACACTATTACTATACACTACACTATTACTATACACTACGCTATACACTACACTACACACTACACTAAACTCTACACTACACTATTACTATACACTACCTATACACTACACTATACACTACACTATACACTACACTATACACTACACTATGATACGTAGCTTTAGCGATTTCATTTCAATGTTACCACGATACGATACGTTCAATGCATGCTAAAAGTTTATTTTTCTAGCAGATAGGATTGTTTCCTGAACAAACTTCATATTAATTTGCAGTTCATATAGGTAGGCTAAGAATTTACCTTGGTTTTTTTACTTTAAATGTACTGTGCAATACAGTCTTGTAATTAATAAAACACACAGGATATAGTCTATACAGTACGCTACTGTAACTTGCTCTGTTTTGCTAGATTACCACCACCCTGTAAGACTCCTGGCTAGGCTAGAGGCCATCTTCGACTTACGATATTTTCGACTTACGATGATAGGGTCGTCGTGACACATCTCCATCGTAAATAGAAGTGACATTCAGATCGACATCACATGCCACCCTCCATCTGCACTGCTCCTTCTGCTGCTGCTGAGTTCAACAACTCGGCAGAATCAGCGTCACCGCCACGCAAAGTAGAGGAAAGGTAAAACCATCATTGACATGTTTTATAAATACATATTCAACTTAACTAATTCGTTATCTATATACAGATAACATGAAAACACGATATTGTTTATCGATATACAGATACAGCTAAACTACGTGTTATCCATATACAGATAAAACTAAACTAGATTTAATCGGTATACAGATAATTGATATACTCTTAGGTTTTTTTCGGTAAAACTACGTAGGTAAGAAAAGTTATAAAATTATAATAAACGAAAAATAACTCAATTGTGATGTAATTTAGTTATTTTTCATTTATTATTATATTTTTCTTATTTTTTTCCTACGTGACTTTACCGAAAAAACCTAAGAGTATGAATCCTTGCAGTTACGAAAGCTTCAAATCTAAAAGAAAATTGATATATTTTTAAATCCTTTATATTAAGTTCACTTGCTTGCTTGCGCGCTTACGACCGTGCAAATCTTTCGGTCGTTTTTTAACCCACTTCCCGTGATCCAATCGAGCTGACATTTTGCACACAGACTCGTTGTGCGTGACAATTTATTTTCGTGAAACATTTTTTCCAAAATTTTCCACTTTTTAGGAAAAAAATTTTCACTAACACAATCGTATATTTTTCCTAAACACAGAAAATTATTCAAGAAAACAACAAAAAAGTACAATATAAACAATCATACAAAAACTGAAAACCTTATAATCCTTATATACGACTTTCCTTATATTTAATTTAAAATACCAATGTGATAAAAATGAAACTCTTACTCAAGAAAAACTGAAATGAATAATAAAATAAAACCGATGCCACGCATATAAAGGATTTATAGTGAAAAACTTTGTTTTACGGGTTAATTTTTACCTTTTAACTTTTACCTTACCTTGCCGGGGCCTACGTGCAGTGAAACCCTGGATTGTGATTAACTTGGTCTCGAGTGTTTTGCAAGATAAGCAATTAAAACAAATATATTGATCAACCAGCGAGGTCTTGCAATAGGAGAAGTTTCATTGTTAAAGTCGCACAAACAGATCCCAGTGAGCTCAGCGATGGCAGTGGTTCCGTTAGTGACAGTGAAAGTAGTCCTACACAATCACCATCCTCTCCTCCACTCATCTCCTCTCTCTCATCTCCACGATTACATTTAATGGATACATTTGATTACTTTATATTACATTTAAATACAAATTTTAAAAAAGGTACAGTATTTTGTAATGTCATCATGGGACCTCCTTTGCCCGTACCAAAATATACTAATAGGTTTTTTTCCCCTTTTTTTTCTGGCAACAAAACTGACACCTTTTGCAAGGTTAATGTAAGCATGATTCCTTGCAAAAGGTGTCAGTTTTGTTGCCAAAAAAAGGGGAAAAAACCTATCAGTATTTTGTAACGAATAATTTTTGTATGAATTTTTTTTGGGTTGTGAAACGAATCGTCTTGAGTTTCCATTTTGTCTTATGGGGAAGTTCGCTTTGATATACGAGTGCTTTGGATTACGAGCACGTTTCAGGAACGAATTATGCTCGCAATCCAAGGTTTCACTGTACTAGTAATCCCTCGCCACTTCGCGGTTCAAGTTTCGCGGCCTCAGTGCATCGCGGATTTTTCAAACTGATTTAAAGGCCTCATTATACCTGTGCAGTAACACCATCATCATCATCATTCATCATCACATTCATCGAACTGCACAGGTCTGTCATCGTCGTCATTGTCATCGTCATTGTCGTCGTCGTCGTCATTACTGGAGTCAAGTCTCAAGATACTACTGTCATTGGTGAGTGTAGAACACCATAATACGTATCGTATGAGAGAGAGAGAGTGAATGTATAATATTAAGGTTTTATAATTAAATAGATTTAAGTAAAATCTATATATATATAAAATCGCGAATCTGTCTGTCTGTCTGTGTGTGTGTGTCGCCGGACCATACGCAGTTTCATTGGACGGCGGTTGCCCCTGGCAACGGGTAGCGACGCCATCGCCGCTTTCATTGGACAGCGGTTGCCCCTGGCAACGGGTAGCGACGCCTTCGCCGCGGGCTGCAGTTTCATTGGACGGCGGTTGCCCCTGGCAACGGGTAGCCACGCCTTCGCCGCTTTCATTGGACGGCGGTTGCCCCTGCCAACGGGTAGCGACGCCTTCGGCGCGGGGTGGACGCCATTTTTAATTCCCCTTTAAAATAGGCGCACGCATTAACACGCGACTCTGACGTAAATTCATCAAAGTTTCACGTCCTCTTCACTCCCCCCCCACCACAATGTGTGCAATTACTATTATAGGGTCGGTACATTATAAAATTATAGCGATTAGACTGTATTATTGTAGCGCGGGGGGGGGGGGAACGGCACCCGTACCCAGCGTCAGCCGGGTGCCAAAATCAGGCGAGGCCGGAGGCTCTGCACGGTGCTAGGCCTCGACACCCACCACGCGACTCTGAGGTAAATTCATCAAAGTTACACGTCCTCTTCACTCCCCCGCCACCACAATGTGTGCAATTCTATTATAGGCTCGGTAAATCATAAAATTATAGCGATTACACAGCATTATTGTATCGCGGGGGATCGGCGCGCCTCACTAAAACCCTACAACGGATCGGCGCGCCTCACTAAAACCCTACAACGGATCGGCGCGCCTCACTAAAACCCTACAACAGATCGGCACGCCTCACACAAACCCTACAACGGATCGGCACGCCTCACTAAAACCCTACAGCGGATCGGCGCGCCTCACACAAATCCTACAACGGAAGCGTAACGCATTGTAGTGTCGTGGTTAGCGCGCCACGCTACGAACCCGGCGACCCGAGTTCCATTCCCACTCACGGCCACCACCGGTGACGATTATTTGAACCGGACCTGGGCCTCCCCTAGGTCGACTCAGCCTCAAACGAGTAACTGGTGTGGTGTGTGAACATCGTCACTGGGGAGACAAAGGCGGCCGGGCGTGGTGAATCCAAGTTCCCGGGCGAAGCCGGGTAGTACAGCTAGTTGTATATAAAGCAATTGAGAGGAACAAGCTGTTGTACGTATGCCTCGGCGTGGCATCACACAAGGCGGGATGCTGCTGAATGCTTCTAGATGCTACCTACACGCCTCAGTGTTAGTTGAGCTTGCGTATGCATCTCACGTGTTATTGCGGGCTGTGCTTTACCCTATATTATATAGTATTTATTACAACGCAATTTTTCCACAACCCAGTGTTCTTCACGAACGCAACTACCGTGTTATAGGAGAACGATTTCCTCCACAGGTGTGCCAACAGCACCGTACCACAAGCATTCTTTATTCATTCACATGCCTCACTTGCCTGCACTGTCTGCTTGTCACAAAACCTTTGCAATGTTTCACTGCACGTGGCATAACAATCCAGGAGTGACTGTGAAAGCCTCGGTTTTGGCTCTAGTAGATGCCAAGTTGGCACATTTCTATGCGGTTGGACTGCTGCTTAGCGACAAAGCAGCAATCGAGCATTCTAACATGAAAATAATTACGAAATAGTCGTGTGCTGTCAAGTCAATGCCTTATTCCCTGTTGAGCCCGGCGAGATGTATTATACAGTAGTACTAATTCTGCGAGATGTCTGGGCAACTGTCTGTGAAAAGGAAGTAAATTCAGTGGACCTTAACATGGTTTTTGGTGCTTTTGTTTAATCCTGAGCCAGGGGAGAGAACTATGGCAGAGACCAGTCTCTGTAGAATGGCCACTGTTTATTTCACTCAAAAATGGTACAAATTTTATTGACCCCCTTAGGGATGATGACTGCGATTGGTCAACGTCTAACTCAAATCAAATTAAAATAATACTCGGTTAACTCCAAGTTGGGTATTGGATTGTCGAGGATAACAGCACAGGATATGAATCTCGCTGGGCGGCGCAGTGTTTATAGAGCACTCAACTCACAATCAGAAGTTGCGAGTTCAAATTCACTTGGGAGTTGCAGTTTCACCGAGTTGGAGTTGGACTTGAGAAACATTTTCTGTTGCATTCATAATGACTGCCACTTTTAAGCCGATACAGATTGTCTTATCGGGAGACTGGCCCCTGCCAATGAAATGTTACAATAAGAATAAAGTGTTCATGAAAGTGGATGGACTGGTCCCCACCAGGGGAGTGTAGATGTTCTATCACAGGCTCATGACTCTCGACCAAGATGACTACCATTCAATGCTTGTCGACAGCTTTTTCCCTTTTGTTACAATTCCTGATAAAAATGTGTCAATGTCTCCACGGCCAATTCTTGTGACCGATTCTCGCCTTGACTTTGCGTGCGCAGCAGTGCCGCGAGCCATGGACGTGACGAGCCGATCGAGCGGCGGCGGGGACCCCAACGCCCTGCCCGAGGGCGTGTTGCCTACACCGGCGCGCATGGTCTACGTGTCCGAGAAGCATCCACGCATCACCCTGGAGGCCATCAGCGTGCTCCGGCGACACCGCAAGTTCTGCGATGTCGTGCTGGTGGTTCGTGCTCGCACACGCACGTTGCCACGACCACCGTCACCAATACCATCATCACACACCGTCGCCACCACCAATAGCTTTGTCACAAGCGCCACGAATGTCAACGTCACAAGCACCAGCGGGTTGTCGCAATTCCCAATACCACCTTCACAAGATTATATTCTCTTCCCGAATCTCTATAACATCATCACCTACACAACGGCCACAATTTGAACCACCACCAGCTTTAGAAACACAATATAGCTCTCGTAGCGAGTTGATGGCTTCACCCTGCTCTGCAGTGAATACAATCTCGTCATTGCCCCGTGCTCTTGAATGGAGGAATTTATAGTTGCATGAAAGGAGGATGTTGACATGATTCCATGGTATATTTGAGATTAGTAATATGGAAAAAATATGTAAGAATGTGTCTAATAAACACAGAGGATGGTGACCGACTGAAATTCGGCACAAACCGAATCAAGATTTTGCTCATGAGAGTTCCCAAAAGTTACAGCCTTGAGGTGTATTAGTTTTATTCATAGGGGTCAGCTACAAGGTCCAAATAGCTTTAAGTCTCATGCTAAATACTTCAAAATATATGATCTCCGATCAATGAATGAAGTAATTGGCTTCTTGTGAAGCATTATGCTGTAGTCAATAAAAAGCGGACAAAGCCTGCGTCTCTATTACCACTGTATATATTTATATATAAGATGGTAAACTTGCACCTTCCACCTTTTCATATTGTTTATAATCTTACAAAAGCAATGGCATCCTCGCCTCCCACAGACCCACCTCCCAGTAGAGGAGGCGCAGTGAGGGCATCGCACATTCACGCCCCACCAACCCGCGTCTGTCTTTGGCAGGTGGGCAGCCGCAAGATCAACGCGCACCGCGTGGTGCTGGCGGCGTGCTCCCCCTACTTCCACGCCATGTTCACGGGCGAGCTGGCCGAGTCACGGCAGGATGAGGTGTCCATCCGTGACGTCGACGAGACGGCCATGGAGCTGCTCGTTGACTTTGCCTACACGGCACAGGTGATGCCACCAGCCGTGCACGCAGTGTTGCTGCTCTAGCAGGCTGGGCCAGTAATGGACTCTCATCCACTTTAGGAGAGCAAAAGACGTGAACCTTCGTGTTGAGTGTTTAAGGCAGTTGTGTATGACCACATCAGCCAGGATGCGACTGATCTTATAGGATGTCAAAAGCAAAGCAGGGTTGTTGAGCCTGGATAGTGCTTGGATACACAGGGGATGGTGGAGGAGCTGCGGGGGTTAGGTGGAGGGGTAGAGTGTGAGGAGTATAATACAGGAATCCCACGCGATGCGTTACGGGGAAATGCTACTTTACTCAAAATGACTTAAAGTGAACTATCATTTTCTACAGACATAACGTTAAAACCAGGGTTTGCGTTCCTAGCCAAGATAAAAAAAAATAATTACTGTCAGAAAGTGTACCAAAATGCGTATGATTGTAAGCTGTAATTTTAACTAACAATAAATGCTAATAATTAGAATTTACCAGAGATAGTTGAAAAGCTTTCTCATCGAGGCCTCTTGTGGCGAGCGGCGGTGTGATGCAGACGAAGGGGCAGGACCAGCTGCCTCTTCTTCTTCTTCTGACGATGGAGCTGCTGCTGCTGCTGCTGCCACAGCTCTGCTCACCAGAGGAAGCTGGCTCTCGAAATATTGTATTATGTTGAATTTCTTTCACACCATATGTAGCCAACCGTGCTAATCAAATGTGTATATTCATTACAGCAGCATGCCATCACAGCTGGAAATGACATTTGTTTGGGGTTTACTTTGACTTGGCTAAGCCACACTGTGCTTAGAGAGCGTGACTCCCAATAACAAGTTTGTGAGTTCATATCCCTGTTGGAATTCTACTCGGATTACCTTGCCGCTGGGACCTATAAAATGAGTACCACTTTGTGTAAAGTCGGCAGTTGTTTGGCTCACCCCTGAAGCACAGGACAGCAGAATTTCTACAACAAACTAAGGTCCGTTAAACGAGATGAGAATCTCACCATTCTTGCATTTGAGCAGAACACCGCTTGCTTCTCATGCAGTCTGCGCTGCTGCGATCCACAGATCACGGTGGAGGAGTGCAACGTGCAGGCCCTGCTGCCGGCCGCCTGCCTGCTGCAGCTCGCCGAGATCCAGGACACCTGCTGCGAGTTCCTGAAGCGGCAGCTCGACCCCTCCAACTGCCTGGGAATCCGGGCCTTCGCCGATACGCACGCGTGCCGAGACCTGCAGCGCACCGCCGACAAGTTCACGCAGCACAACTTCCAGGAGGTGGCCCTCTGCAGACACACAAGCCAGAGCACGGCCCACAGCCAGAGCACAGCCCACAGCCAGAGCACACAGCCAGAGCACAGCACACAGCCAGAGCACAGCCAGAGCACAGCACACAGCCAGAGCACACAGCCAGGCCACCAAGTCAATGCAGATTCACTCTCACAGCGCATGTTTGGGCCAATTGTACTTTCGGGTGTCGTGTCACGAGGCCAAGTGTTTGTTGGTTTCTCTCGCAGAGCAGTGCTGCAAGCTCCCATGTTCGAGGACAGCCCGCAGAGGCGGGATATCACACAGCTACTTTTGTGGCTTACGATCTGCACCATAAAAAACTGCATTTTTACAACTCACTACACACAGCAGAACTAAGTGTAACGTTCTAGATTTGAAGTTTTCGTGACTGCAAGGATCCATACTTTTTGGTTTTTTCGGTAAAGTCACGTAGGTATAAAATAAAATAAATTAAAATGAAAACAACTAAATTAAATCACGACGTTTCGGGCGCAACACAAGCGTCCGTCTTCAGGTACCTGATTTAATTTAGTTATTTTCATTTTAATTTATTTTATTTTTTACCTACGTGACTTTACCGGAAAAAAAGTATAAATATAACGTCGTTGGGTTTTTGTGTGTGTAGTCATTGGTGACTGGGCTGAGACCATCAAATCACTGCACATTAAAACCCATTTTAATCACAGGCCTTAATTCAAAAGCCAGCATCTAAACGGTGCCACCTCAGTGCTCTTATCATCTGAGCCACATTAAAGGAAAATGCAAGCCAAAAGAGAGTTGTGTTTTTGTAAGCACCTAGCCTGTGTAGCCTGGGCAGTCCAACGCATCTTTGGTTATGATAGAGCTTTTAAAATTGACTTTCAGACGTGCTGCCAAAAAGCTCTAGTGATATCATTGCAGCACATTAATGTAACTGCATTGACTTGCTGCAATTATATCGCTAGTTCACGAGAGTACAAGACTTGAAGTAACTTTCAAGTATTTTGCTTGTGCGCAATTAAGTTTCAGACTCATCTCGGACAACCTGGAACACAGAGCCTAGGTGTGTGTCCACATCATGGGACCTCCTTTGCTAGTACCAAAATATGATAATAGGTTTTTCCACTTTTTTTCTGGCAACAAAACAGGTGTTAAGATGTTAAAACACCAAACTGAAACCTTTTAAGAGGAATCATGTCTGCATTAACCACAATGCTTGTGGTCAGAATGCAAACCAAAAATATTCTGATAATATATGCATTGTCCTTGAAACTGATTGGTCCACACCAGAGACAGCTTTCTTTTGAGCCTCGTCTCAAACGGTGTTAGACCAGAGGACGCCTTTTTGACCAGAGGACAATGCATATGTTATCAGAGTTAGTTTTTTGTTTGCATTCTGACCACAAGCATTGTGGTTAATGCAGACATGATTCCTTGTAAAAGGTTTCAGTTTGGTATTTTAACATCTTAACACCTGTTATTGGTTCTTTCGGTAAAGTCACGTACATGATGATTGCTTGTGTTGCAATCGAAACGTCGTGATAATTTTATTGTTTTATTTTTGATATTTTATTATTTCCCTTCTACGTGACTTTACCAAAAGAACCAATAATATGAATCCCTGCAGTCACGAAAGCTTTAAATCGAAATCTTAACACCTGTTTTGTTGCGAGAAAAAAGGGGAAAAACCTATTATCATAGAAGTGTGTCTATAAGAGGCTCTGTTTTATTTGGCTGTGGATTCCTTTAAAAATATATTTCTGCCACTTTCATTGTGACGTGCAAAAGAGATTGCCGTTCACTTTCATTGTATTGGTAGCTAATTGTGTTGATTTTGTATGTATGTAGTTATGTTTACGTGGGCAGTTGAGGGTACTTGTAATGCAATTATGTGTGTGTTGCAAGTAGTGTGTGTGTGGCTATCAAGGCACGATACTAATCTCCACAAAGGGTAATGAATCCACCAAGAATTTAAGTTTTCTGTGCAATAAACAATTTCAACTCGCAATGTGCCGCACAGTATCCGCTCACTCTCGAAGACAGGAGAGAGCATGACTCGGAGGTGTGAGGAGGAACTAATGTCTGTGCTCCTCTATATATGAAGGTGCTTTTAGCCAATTAATGTTGCCGATATATGTGAGAGGAAACCGGAGCACCTGGAGAAAGCCTACACGTGCGAGGCGACAATACTATCCCATACAGAGGGAACGGATCGAGTCCACATTTTTGCTTTACCGCTTTATCCTGGTGGTAAAGCCACGGGAATGAAGTTGTTGTGACATTTGTGTGATCTGCCACCCCTCGACTCCACGGCGCTGGATTCCAGTCGTGTACCACCACCACCCAGCCATCAAGAGGTGCTCCATATTAACACTGTGCTCAGTAATCCAGGCTGACATGAAGCGGGGCATCTGTTGCTTTCGCAGGTAATGGAGAGTGAAGAGTTCATGCTGCTTCCTGCCAACCAGCTCATCGACATCATATCCACCGATGAGCTAAACGTGCGCAGCGAGGAGCAGGTGTACAGCGCCGTCATCGCCTGGGTCAAATACAACATCCAGGAGCGCCGGCCACAGCTACCCCAGGTGCCTGCCTGTGTGCGCGCTTGCGTAACCGCTGATCGGCGGTTGTGTCCTTCCTAGGCCTCCGCTAGGTACGTGGACGCCCCTAATGTCAAGCCACTGCAGGTTGAGAGCCTCCCCATGCTGTGTATTTCGTGGAGGTTACACGACCAGATTTTGCCACGCTCGTCAGTACGGGTTAGTTCAGGTGGAGGCGAGATGTTTGACCATCATTAGACCTCCTTGGCCAGTGCCAAGATATAATAATAGGGTTTTTCCATTTTTTTCTGGCAACAAAACTGAAACCTTTTTTACAAGGAATCATGTCTGCATTAACCACAATACTTGCGGTCAGAATGCAAACAAAACACACTGATAATGTATGCATTGTCCTTGAAACTGATTGGTCCACACCAGAGACGGCTTTCTTTTGAGCCTCGCCTCAATTGGTGAGTGTTGCCAGAAAAAAGGGGAAAATCCTATTATTAGATGTGTTACCAGTTTAGCACAACAGTTGATCTTGCTGCACTGCCATCTGCTGGTATCATAGCACATTATCACCCGATAACAATCTGTTCTACGTAGCTTGGTCGTCCCTCAATCAATCAAATAATCACTTCTTCCTGAAACTAAATTTGATGCTTTTATTGTGAGCGTAAGAACCTGTTTTGAAATCAATTATTTAGTTCATCCCCACCTAGTAGAGCGGGGAGCTCATGCTTGACAACATAAAAGCACACACAGTAGAGGTAACTATATCGCTCCTCTTGCTGATCGTAATAGGATACAGTGGCTGCACGACGACAAAACTGCCCCCCTCGCGTATGAATGCACAACTTCCACCACTGGCTTAGGGCCGCCCACATTGATGAGCACCAGCCAAATCTCGTGTGTGCTTTAATAGTGTCATTAACCAGGTGACATCTTCTGTAGCCCCCCCCCCGCCCGCTCCCAGCGCCAGCATTGTGTCTCACCAGCCGTGTCTCAACAGAAGTCCCCCCCCCTACTCCACAATCCCTGCCCCCTGCATCTCTCCTCCCTCTTTACCTTATATAATCACTTGTCACAAACAGCTGTCTTTGCCCACTACAGTAATGTTTGTTTCTTACTGTGGTTGTCCCACCTGATGACGGAAGCTTGTGTTGCTTCCGAAACGTGGTGATTTAATTTGGTTATTTCTATTTTTTATTTTTATTCTTACATTTTATTTTAATGTTTCACCTACGTAACTTTACCGAAAGAACCAATGAGTATAGTGGCAACAGTGTGTGACTATTCGTCTTGTTGAAAATGTATTACAGTCTAGATAGCAGTGGAATAGTATTCTGAAAACGCACTGACGCAATCGCATCATCCCAGCCCGAATTCCTTGCCACACACACGGGGCGCATGGTTCTTGATTATATCCCCTCTCCTCTAGGTTAACTCGACCTAAAATGAGTATCCAGTGTTTGTGTTATCACTACTTGGGTAGCAAAGGTGTATGTGTGATGCCAAACAAAAAAGCTCCGCACATGTGTCTAAGCAGCCGGTTTGTCTATAGGAAGGCCTGTGTCTTGTTTGTGTATGGGTGTATCAATCTGGACAAAGTCCCGTCTGTGGATCTCTCTCGCAGGCAATGATTCAATCCAATTAAACCATACAATGTATATCTGTATAGCATCTAAATGCAGCTGCATCTCAAGATGCCGTACTTTTGTTATTGCCGTATAAGGTTAAGCGAGGGATCTTCTTCTCCGTGTGTGTGTGCGTTAGTGTAACGGTTATCACGCTAGGCCTCCCCTAGGTCGACTCGGCCTCAAACGAGTACCTGGTGCGGTTTGTAAACATCACCACTGCGGAGGCAAAGGTGCCGGGTGTCGTGTTGGCCACCCACCCCCTTGTGTGTCGTGCCGGTCTTCATAGGGGCTCGCGAACAGCACTTGCTCAATGAAAAATAAGAATAGGTTCTACCCTTTCTGGCAATAAAACAGGAGGTGTTAGGATGTTCAAACACCAAATACTGGTAAAGAAGGTCCCATGATAGCACTTGCTCTAACAGTCTGTTAAAGGCTATACGGGGGATCTTTGTCTTTGTGTAGGTGCTGCAACACGTCCGTCTGCCCCTGCTCACACCCAAGTTCCTGGTGGGCACAGTGGGGACGGACCTTCTGGTGAAGAGTGACGAGGCATGCAGGTAGCCGGCCACGCTGTCACGAGTGGTGGTGCGTGTTTTCCGTGAAACCCACGGGAGGCTGCCATGCCAATTTCCGCGTCGTCGGCTGAACAGGATTCGCAGAAAATCACGAATGTTGGGATACATTTTACGTGAACATCAAAACCTTCACCTTGGCAGGAAGGTGATGTATTGTTTCCGTGGTCACTGCCGTGACTTATTTTGTGACATTTTCCGCAAGTCAGAATCTTTGATCAAGTGAGCAATGGGGCTTGAGCTCACCTCGTTTGAAGGCAGAGCCAGTAGTCGGGATATCACATTCGGAATCAGAATCTTTATTTAGACTGGAGGAATCCGATGAGCTTTGACGCTCTTTTTAACAGACGTCCAGTTTGGGTCGGTCTATTGTACACGCCAGTCTCTACATCGGATCACCACTGTGGACATGCCACAAACGGTACGTGCTGTATCCATGGTGGAGGAAAGATAGGCTGAGTGGACCCCGGAATTTGATGTAATACTTGAATATCCTTTAATTACACCTACACAATGGTACTACTCAAAATAACTAGGCGAGTCAGGAACGCAGATGCATAAATTTGACACTCCTGCGAACATGTACACTCACAATGATACCGTTAATTAAATATAATCACAGGTTTGTTTTCCTGCTACTGACAAGAAGGATCTACGTTTTTTCTGAGCAAAGAAGGCAAGCGAGCTTGAACGATGAAATGAAAAAAATAACTTATAATTTCAACAAAAATCAACTACACATTCCACCCACTTCTATTATAATTCTGGCCAACCAATCCCCCAGCTTGGATAGACCAGTGTGAAGGCATGACTACAGACTTCTTCGGGCTCATACTCTTCTTAGTCGCAGCTCAGCCCTGGCTTCACATGGCGGCTCAGTTCAGGCGTGTGCTGCCGAGTAGCTTCCAGAGACGCATTAGCAGCTCGTCATCCATGGCTTGGCGCAGGAGGAAATCTTGAGCATGGCTGGGATCGTGCTCATAGGCCAGCTAAAATTAAGCACATGAATTTGAGCCATGGCCTACTTGAACCAGAGCCAAGTCTGGGCTGAGCCTTGACTAGCAATATGGGACTTTTACAGTGTTAATTATGGCTCCGTTTGACATTAGAAGATTGTGGTGACCCACACGAATCATAACAAAGGTACAGGAATCCCCCACGATAAGTTTCCGCATTGTGCATTGTTTTGCATATACGTTTCTGATTAATACTCTTATATAAGCACGCAACTTTATCTGTGATGAACGCTGCACTTTTCATCGTTTTCATGCAGGGGGCGCTGCAAACCTACGTGCCCCCTGCATGAACGACTGAGGCGCAGGGACAGACGTTCGATTACATTGGAATCGATCTGCAGATGGCGGTCTTCTCGCACGGCCAGCAGCTCTATATCGCCTTAACTCGATCCCGCAACCCCAAACAGGTGAAAGTCCGCATCGAACCGAACCCCCAGCAAGGCCATCTACTTAACGGCGAGAGAAAATTCACACGAAATGTCGTTTTCAATGAAGTCTTCCAGATGTAAAATGATATAAGCTTTTCATGAAGAAATAAAATTATCTAATTCTAAACAATTCAAAGATGTTTAATTTAAAAACTTCAAAACGGAGCATCGGGTGCTTGCGTGAATGCGTCGTTCGTGTTAAAAAAATATTGTGACTTTCCTGGCCGAAGGCCGTAAATGGTTGTGAGGTGCGCCACAGGCGCCCCAAACAAGCCCAAGTGTCATGTTTGTCTTGTGCTTTCTGGAAAAAAAATGCATATTAGTTCTTGCGCAATTGCCTTCCTTGTTTAATAATTGTGCAAATTTTCTTTGCACGATTTTTAAAAGGAATGTATATGCATAACACGAATGCACGAGGGAGAAAGCGGACTTTTGCGATGTAATACCGAACTGTACACGCATAGCACGTACCACCAGAACTGTACACGCATAGCACGTACCACCAGGAATCGCCAAGAGGCCTCGATCAGCAAGCTCTTAAACCATCTCTGGTATTAAGTTTTTTGTATTATTTGTATTCTTATTTAAAGCGTATGTTCACTTATAATCATATGCTTTTTTGTACACTTCATGACATTTAGTCGCGCATTTTCGAGAAATGTCGGCTAGCAACGCAACCCCTGATTTTAACATTATGTTTATGGGAACTTAGAGCTCGCTTTAAGTACTTTTGAGTTAAGTAGCATTTCCCAGGAACGCATCCCTTATGTATCGTGGGGGATTCTTGTATTATGCTCCTCCCCCTTCACCATCCCCCGTTTTTTTATGCTGTGCGCTCGCTGCGTGCATTAATGTTTTGTTGTTTTTCTCTGTTCGTCGCTCAAGAGACCTCGTGGATGAAGCCAAGAACTATTTGCTTCTGCCCCAAGAAAGACCACTCATGCAGGGCCCCCGCACGAAACCCCGCAAGCCCATCCGCTGCGGGGAAGTGCTCTTCGCAGGTGAGCTGTGATGGGATGTGCGCAGGTGCGGGAGGTCGTGGGTTCGATCCCGACCATGATGCCTGCTGTATATTCAGAGTTTGCATGTGTCTCTCCCCCCGTGGTGGCGTCGATTTTTTTTCAGGTCCTCCAGTTTTTCCCCTGCACATGTGTTTGGAATATTTGGCTGCTATAAATTTCCACATGATTAGCCACTTTGAGCTATAATTTGTGGCCAGGTCGCTTCTGAAAAAGACCTATACAGCTTCGTGGGCCTTAGCAGGTAAAATTTTAATCGTTTGTTTAGTTTAATAGGTGTTTACTAACAGAAATGACCTCAACGATCTGTTAAGGCTACAAGGGGATCTTTTCTCCCTGTCCATCACCGTGCAGTGGGTGGCTGGTGCAGCGGCGACGCCATCTCCAGCGTGGAGCGCTACGACCCGCAGACCAACGAGTGGCGCATGGTGGCCTCCATGAGTAAGCGGCGCTGCGGCGTGGGGGTGGCCGTGCTCGATGACCTCCTCTATGCCGTGGGCGGTTACGATGGATCCTCCTACCTCAACAGTGTGGAGCGGTGCGTGCGAACGAGCGAGTCGGCGGGGCGATTGAGGGACGTATGAGCGAGTGCCTCTGTGGGGAGCGGTGGCGGTTAGCGGGCCGCGCTACGAACCCGGTGACCTGAGTTCGTTTCCCGCTCACGGCCAACACCAGTGATGATTATCTGGACCGGTTCTGGGCGTCCCCTAGGTATACTCAGGCTCAAATGAGTATGTTGTGTGTAAACATCGCCACTCGGTAGACAAAGGCGGCCAGGCGTGGTGCTGGCCACCCACCCCCTTGTGTGCCGTGCCGACCTTCATAGGTACTCGCTAGGAGCGCTTGCCCCAACAGTCTGTTAAGGCCATACTGGGGATGTTTGGTGGATGAGTGAGTGCTTGAGGGATGTACGTGCGAGTGCCATGGTGAGTGGTGTATGATCGTAAGGCGTGGACCCCTCAGGGCGTGGAGGTATCCATGAGACGCCGGCAGGCGATCTTATCCTGCGAACGCAGTCACGCCGAGTAAAGGTTGCTTCACGAGTTTGTGAGTAGCTGAGTGCTGCTGCGTGCGAGTGAGTGCTGCTGTGAATGAGTGGATGGTGTATGATTGACAGTGTACTGCTGTGTGAGTGCTGCTTTACTTATGAGTGATTGTGTGCTGCTGTGTATGTGAAGGCTGACCCACAGCACTCGTGTACAGACCTGAAATAGTGAACTGCTGCTTTTGATTGTGATGTTTGCTCAAGTTTTGCCATTGGTCTACATGTGCGATGCACATCAAACACAGACTTGGCCACGAGCATGCATCATACATCTATTCCACACACCTCCACCTGCTCCTCTTCTCACCTGAGCTTGCACTTGTGCATACTAATCCATGCATGCACATGTGCACGGGCATTTCCACAATTTCGACGATTCCGGACGTACATTTCAGACACTTTAAAGATGCGGATAATTATTAATATAAATCATTCAGTGGCTTTTCACTTGGCCGTAAGTTAACAAAAGGATTTTAAACTGTATTCTATGTGAAACTGGAAGCCAGTGCAGGGAAGAAGAAGAAGGGGTTCTGGTTAACACCCCAGCAGCCGCATTCTGAACAAGCTGCAAATAGACCATCACCTTCTTAGCCACGCCAGCGAGTAAGACGAGCTGTCGCCTATACGAGATGAGATGGAGGCTCGGAGCAGATTCTCTGCTTCTGAAGCAGAAATAAGGGATCGGATACGGGAGATATTCTGAAGATGGAAAAACGAAGTCTTTGTGATCTTTTTATACTGATGTTCTTATAATACTGATGGCTTAATGAAGTATTATTTTTATTTAGGAAATAATGTTTACCACCTGTTTTATTATATTAGCGCTATTACCAGTACCCCAATAAGGCCCTCGTATATTGCTTGGATGAAATAAGTATATACAATGGTATAATGACCCCTATTAGCGCCGAGTTCGTTTGCGCTCACTTCTCCAGGAACGCATCTTGAGCGCTAAGCAAATGCTGCCTGTCCATGCATTTAGTTGCACGTGTGTCAAACCGTTAACTTATTTAATAAATATGCATTTTGTCCCGATAAATATATGTAACTAGCTTCAATACGAGGCCCCATATGTATGGTCAGGATGATATTTTTTTATTTAGTTAGTAAAAAAGATTAAAGTTCAGCCCTGCAGTCGCTTGCGAATGTGACCGCTGGTACAAGGGCCTCGCCAAGAGGGTGCGGCGCTAGAAGAGCCCCCCTCTCTGAATTCGGGTAATTAGGGGGTTGGTAGTCTTCCCCTGCTGGTGAGACGTCTTGGAATCGGTGGGCCGAACACCCACGCTGTTTTCCGTCCCGCACGCGACTTGCCGATCGACTTTACCCGGTGAAACCTGACGGTGTGCTCGTCTAATCGGTGGAGCTGCTCTCGCTCAGCTACGACCCCAAGACGAACCAGTGGAGCAGCGACGTGGCGCCCATCAGCACGTGCCGCTCCTGCGTCGGCGTGGCTGTGCTCGCCGGATTCCTGTACGCCGTCGGCGGGAAGGACGGAGTGAACTGCCTAAATATTGTCGAGAGGTGCGTACTCGTGCATGCGTGCGCATGCGTGTGTTTGTGGAGCGGTTCACGCGCCCGCTGCGTTAAGATCCCGGCGACCCGAGTACTATTCCCGAGGTCGACAGAGACTCAAACGAGTAGCTGGAGAGATGTGTGAATATCACCACTCGGGAGACAAAGGCGGCCGAGTGTGGTGCCGGCCACCCACTCCCTCGTGTGCCGTGCAGACTTTCATAGGTGCTAACACTGGTCAACACACTTTTTCTGGCGTAAGGTATTCCAACGGTTTTAAGGTAATTTTGGGGTGCTGATTCCAAATCTGTTTTTGTCTATCACATGAGGTTTTTGAGATATCAAATATTGCATTTTCAATCAAAACTGCAGAAGAAAAATATTAAATAAATGTGGATAGCTACATAAAATGATATATAAACACACTATCCTAAACATACAGCACCGTATTTTAACACTAAAGCAGTCACTGACTCGCAACAACTTGCAATCATAAGTAACAGAGTTGATTTCGGGTAAAATCAATGAAAATGGGGTTCGCCGATAGCATCAAATGAGATGTGAGAGAGAAAATCAGAGATCAGATTTGGAATCCGCACCCTGAAATTAGTCTAGAACAGCTGCAAAAGTCCAGGCCAGAATTTTTTTTATTTTTGTTGACCAGTGTAATCGCTAACGGCACTTGCCCCAACAGTCTGATGAGACTATATGGGGCAGATGTTTGTGTGCGTTGATCTGATCTCCCCCTGTGCGTGTGTAAATCTCTGTATGTGCACTCATCATTAGATATGACCCCAAGGAGAACAAGTGGAGCCGGGTAGCATCTATGAGCACGCGGAGACTCGGGATGGCTGTGGCTGTCCTCGGGGGACACCTGTATGCAGTCGGGGGCTTTGACGGGACATCGCCTCTCGACACTGGTCTCTCTCTCGTGCCCATCTGGCTCACACAGCCAATGCTGAGTGTTCCTGTGTGTGTGTGCATGCTGCATGTTGTGTGGGGAGCGGTAGCTTAGCGGTCGACTCGGCCTCAAATGAGTACCTGGTGTGGTGTGTCAACATCGCCACTGGAGAGACAAAGGCGGCCGGGCGTGGCGCTGTCCACCCACCGCAGAGTAAAACCCACATGACCACGGAGGGAGAGATGTGAAAACTCCAAAATATACAGGCGTCAGGGTTGGGTTCGATTCCACGACCTCCTGTGTACCAGGCGAGGTAGTTAACATCTTGCCACCGTGGTGCCATAAGTGCACCTCCACTGTAAATATAAATATGGAGTGAAAACATTTGACAAATGACAAATAGTTGGCCATTTCTGTAGGGTGTAGAATGTTCACCTTTGGCCCAGGGACTGCCAATGGTGATGAGCACCACCCAATGCTCACTTGAGCATTGGCTATCCTCTGTGGCTTTTGGGTCAAGGTCAGTGCCGTGCCACAAACACCACGAAAGTTGGGAAAAAACTGAAAAAGCAAACATTTCACTGGTGAGATGGAGCATGGGGTTTGAATGGGGGGAGCACTTGCCCACCAAACACTGCCACATCTAGCCAATCAGCTACTAGCACGAGCCCCCTTCCCACGAATCCTACCCCACTTCACCAGGGCCACATCTGGCTCTTTGCACGCTTTTTCAGTTGTTGGTGTTCATCGTTTCCTTTGGTGTCGCCCCATCCAAGAGCCCGTGAAGGTACATTACGCATGGCCGTGTGTGTGTGTGCAAACAGTGGAGCGATACAGCCCCGCCGATAACCGGTGGGCGCCGGTGCCGCCAATGGGCACTAGGCGCGAGTACCCGGGCTGCGCTGTTTACCAGGACTGCCTGTACGCGGTGGGTGGACGCGACGACACCACCGAGCTGAGCTCGGCGGAGCGCTACTGCCCCCGCGAAAACACGTGGAGCCCGATCGCCGCCATGAACACGCGTCGGAACGCAGTACGTTCCATCCATCTGTGCCGCCGAACGAACGTCGTGTCCCTCCGTCCTTCTGCTTGTCTGCCCCTCCACGAGTACCTGGTGTGGTGTGTAAACATCACCACTAGGGAGACAAAGGCGGCCGGGCGTGGTGCTGGCCACCCACCCCCTTCGTGTGCTCTGTTGGCCTTTATAGCTGCTACCAGCATTTGCCCCAGAAGTCTATTTAGGCTATCGGGAATCGTTGTCTCTTGTCCATATATTCATCCATCCCTGTGTCCATGTGTCCCTCCCTCTGTCTCGCTATCCATACATTTGCCTTTCCGTCCAATTGCTCGTACGTTACAACAGAATAATGATTAATTCTTGTAGCAGATTCCAATAAATGTTTTTTAATGCACTTGTAGTATTAACCACTGGCCACAGCCCTAGAAACATGAGCCTCTGTTTTCTTACAATCTTAAAAACTACAGCTTTGCACACAGTATGCTGTAGAGCACAGTTAACTTCCAGGCAAGCTGCCAATTTTAAATTGAGCAGCGCATAACACCTATTTCCTTATACATTTATTATTGGTGCAAACACAACTTGGGACGTGTTCTTCACTCCGAGCTGCTGTATATCGAACATTCAGTGTCAAAGCAGCTAATGCTGCAGGTGTGTGCAACAATATTGCTGTGCTCAAAGGAGATTGTGGTGATGATAATGACGATGATGACGTTGGGTGCAGGTGGGCCTAGCCGTGGTGAATGGACAGCTCATGGCCGTCGGAGGGTTTCATAGAGCCACCTACCTCAAAACCATCGAGGTGTACGACGCAGAGGCCAACACGTGGAGGTAGGCTTGGCACAGGGGGCCTGCGTGGGTAGTTGGTAGTTCTGGTGGTGGTGGTGATCCTGGTGGTGTTGTTTCTGTAACGCTGGCTGTGGTGATGAGTATGGTGGTGCTAATGAGATCTGTTCTGATTCTCTTGTATGATTGTACATGTGTACGTTGAGCTTCTTTCGCACCGTACGTAGCCAACCGTGCTCATTGGAGGTGCGGCAGAAGGACAAGCTAAACATAAAAAGCAGTTCTAAAGAGATGAGTTTTCAATCTGGGTTTAAACGTTTATAACTCCAGTGGCTTCCTAATATCGGAAGGAAGACGTTCCAGACGGCAGCAGAAGCGCATCTGAAAGTGCGCGACGTGGTGACCACCGCCTTTGCTGGATGGCTATCGTGACGTTGCCTTTGGCCAAATCACATGGAAAGTGCCCGATTTAATCCGATCTTGGAAGCTGAGCAAGTATGAGACTGGATAGTGCTTGAATGGGTGACCACTCTGCATAGTAGGTGATCACCCATTTGCAGTGGGCAGCAGAGGGCAGTGCAGCACAATCCCTTGTTGTACTGTATTATATGCTCCCATGTCTCTTCTACCTGCCGTCAACCCACACTGACCAACTCGGTGAAGTCTGGTAAAATGGCCCTTGTGCAGAGGCTTTCATCCAGCAGTGGATTTTACAAAAGGGCTGTACGTGAATAAGTGTGATCCTGAAGGCATTGATGATGTTGCTAAAGGTAGCGTTGCTCGTACGGGTGTTGATTATCGCGGGTGTTGTGATGACGGTGGTGCTAATCCTGGCGAGGTTAACGACAGCCTTGATGCTCACGGTGGTGATGCTGGTGTTGCGTTTCAGGTTGTGTGGAGCCATGAACTACCGCCGCTTTGGATTAGGGGTTGGAGTGGTTAAAATGACGCAGTGTGAATCGCACATTTGGTAGCAGAAGACGCAGCGCGCTCCGTGTCCGCGTGCAGTCTACGTGCTCCGTTGAAACACGCACGAACACATGCGCACACAGGCACAGGCACGCTTTTCTTTAATAAGTGCACATCGATACTTTTTGAAAGGGAGTCCAGGACCTATACTGGTGAAGTACCGTTGATGACGCTTGGACACCGTTGTAAGGCACACGTGTTTATTCGTACAAGTAGTCACACTGCGGACATACAATACTAGAGGGGTGTATCGGCCCCCTCACCCGGATAGCTGGGAATACTCTACTAGCTACCCCTGACACTACCTCCTGGTCCTCCACTAATGGGCTAGGGGAGGCTATCTGGCCCGACACTGGTCAGTCGGGCTACGGTACCCGGAGTCCCAGAGTACTAACTCTGGTTCACGGGACCACGCCACTGGCTCGGTCCTGCGCGGCCCTGACAAGGGCGGCGTCCCAGGGGAGTCCAGGGCTCTAGCTAGTCGATCTTCTGTCTTCCCTCCTTTTACTCTAAAAACTCCACCCCGAGCTCTCCGGCTCATCCCCATTTATACCCCCCGGAGGATCACAACCCCCCGGGCAGCCCCCCAGGCCGCCCGGTGCGGACGTCGTTGCGGGCACCTCCCCGTGTACTCACGGAGCCCCGCCCACTGTGTTTGTTACCCGTGTGATCCTATGCATACAGCCCTACACATACAGCCCCTCTGTAACAGCCCTACATCACCCCCCCCCTGTACAGCTCGCAGCCGTCCCGGCTGCAACAAATTCAATAAAGGTTTATTAACCCCTTGACCTCCGCGTGTGCCTCAAAAAAACAATTTTTAACCATAACGTGACGAGAACAACAACAAGAACCAACAAACCCCGAATGGAAAATAACCCGACGCACCCCCCCTGAATAAATACGAATTCCGTAAGAGCAACGTATATACAATTAGCAAGGAACCCCCAGCACACACACAACACAACACAATGTGGCAGGAGCACCCCACCGACGCAGCGCACAGCAACCATACACGTGAAAAATAAAAAATAAAATTTCTTTTTAATGCTTCACAAGAGTCTGCGCATTTTTGCGCGCGTCCTTGCCGCAGGCCCGTCACACGGGGCAACCCCGGATGGCGGACCATCCGGTGGCAGCTGTCCATTTTGAAGTGAGTCCGTGCTTGACGTCGCGAGACCCTCGGCATCCCCCGTAGGGGTGGTTGGGCGTGAGCCCGTCATTCCCGGTGCACCTGTGGGCGGGACAGCCGGCAACACGTCAGGCGAGAGCAGCAGAGACGGACCCTTTGAGTCGGCCGACCCCCCACATGTTTGGCCACGCGTGTGTGGAGTGGGGCCTCGCACCGCAACGAATGGTTTCAGTCTCGAGGGGTGCACAAACCACCGGCGCTTCCCCCATTTGATGCGAACGCACTGAGGCCGCAAAACCTCGACCACCTCGACAGGGCCGCGCCACGGCCGCACCAGTTTAGAGGATGTCGCGAGTGGTACCTGGGGCAGTGCAGCCATGCCCTGTCCCCCGGCTTCCACTGTAGCACGCGCGCGCGACCCAGTCTGAGGCGCTCATTCGCTTTCTGACGCCGGTCGGAATTTAGCATGGCAGCATCCCGTGCCTCAGTCAATTTTGCAAGGTTGAATTTAACATGGTCGACCAATTTAGTTTTACCCAGCGGCGCGGGGATCTGCAGCTGCGCCCGAACAGGTGGGTCAGGTTCGCGGCCATACATGAGGAAGAAGGGTGAAAATCCCGTCGCAGCATGGGGGGCCAATCTGTATGCTGCCAGGACCCCTTGAATTTGCAAGTCCCAATCGGTCTGTGAGTCCGAAACCTGCTGTGACAACATAGACGTGATGGTGCGATGCAGACGCTCGACCATCCCGTCAGTTTGCGGGTGATAGGGAGAGGTACGAATTTTTTTCGTTCCCAGGAGCTCACAGACCTGTTGGAGGAGTTTGCCGGAAAAATTTCTACCCTGGTCGGTCAGCAGCCGCTCCGGAGCACCTTTGTCCATGACATAACCTTGGACAAAGGCCTCCACGATGGCTGCTGCCGACTGGTTGGCCAGGGGCCAGGCCATAGGCCAGCGCGTAAAGTATTCGACCCCGGTCAACAAATATCTATTTCCCCTAGGGGTGGCGGGGAATGGGCCCAGAATATCCAGCGCGACAAGTTCGTTCACTCTGGAGACCCTGATAGACTGCAAAGGCGGGTTTGACTCCCGTGCTGGTGGTTTTCGCTGCGCACACCGAGGGCATGATGCCAACAGATCTGTGACATCCCTTGTCATGCCTTGCCAAAAAAAATCACGCTGGAGCAAGGCGAGGGTCTTTTGGGTACCCAGGTGGAGGAGGCGCTCATGAGCAGCCCACACCACCCTACCCCGTAACCCAGAAGGGACCACCAGCCGGTGTCGATGGGATTTTCCGTCCCAATGCATCAGCAACCCCGCGTGCATTTCCCATGCGTCGGCATCACCCGACCCCCGCCCCGCCTCTCCGGCGCGACGACGCAACGCGAGGAGGGAGGTATCCTCCATCTGGAGGCGCCCCCATTCATGAACGGGCAAACCCAGCAGGGAATCTTTCCCTGTTGTTCGATAGAATTAGGGACAACTGTCTCGTCGTCGGCGGCGGCCGCCAGGACCGGAACCGACATGTCCCCTGCTGGCTTGCAACGTCCCGACCCCAGGAGGCATGCACATTCGGAGGTGGTTGGCATGCGCGACAGAGCGTCCGCGTTGGTGTGGCGAACGCCCTTACGGTAGGTGGTTTGAAATCAAAATCCTGGAGGATCTCCAACCATCGGGACAATTGTCCCGATGGCTGTTGAACTCGCAGGGCGTACTGCAGTGCCGCATGATCTGTGCGGACGGTGAAATGCCGACCGTACAGATATGGGCGATACTGTTGGATGAAATAGACAATTGCCAACAGTTCCCTGCGGGTGACACAATATCTTTGCTCCGCTGGAGACAACACCCGACTGCCGTACGCAACCACCCGTTCCACGCCGTCAACCACCTGGGAAAGCACGCCCCCAATACCCGTGTTGCTCGCATCGGTGTCGAGCAGAAACGGTTTGAAAAATCGGGGTAAATCAAGGGAGGAGCTTTTACCAGGGCGTCCCGAAGGGAGCAAAAAGCAGCCTCCTCCTCCTGACCCCAGTGGAACCGAACCCCTTTAGATGTTAAGGCGTGTAGGGGTTTGGCAATCGTCGCAAAATCAGCGACGAACCGTCGGTAATACGACGCGAAGCCGATGAAACTCCTGACCTCTCCCACCGAGGTGGGAGTCGGCCAGGAGCTGACACACTGCGTTTTGGCGGGATCGGTAGCAATACCCGAGCGCCCTACGATGTGCCCCAAATAACGCACCGAATCGCGTAACAAATGACATTTTTGGGGCTTGAACTTCAAATTAGCAGCCCGCATCTTTAGGAAAACCGCCCGCAACCTCTGGAGATGTTCGTCAAAAGTTTTACTGAAGACGATAACGTCATCCAAATAAATCAGGCACGACTCCCATTGCAATCCAGCCAAAACCAATTCCATCAAACGCTGGAAAGTTGCCGGCGCTGAGTGTAAGCCCATCGGCAACCGGTTGAATTGGAACAGGCCGTGCGGTGTACGGAAAGCAGTTTTAGGTTTTGATTCATCGTCCAGAGGAAGCTGCCAGAATCCCGAAAGTAAATCCAGTGTGGAGAAGAATCGCGCTCCCGCCAAGGCGTCCAGCGATTCGTCCATCCGTGGGAGCGGGTATGCGTCGGCAACCGAAATTTTGTTAAGGCGCCGAAAATCAACGCAAAACCGCAACGAGCCGTCCTGCTTTTTAACCAGGACGATCGGCGCTCCCCAAGGGCTGGTAGAGGGAGAAATGATGTCGGCGGCTAACATGTCATCAACAGCCGATTTGACATGGTCCTTTTCGGCGGGACTTAACCGAAACGGATTCTGGCGTATTGGCGCGCTGTCACCCGTGTCAATATGGTGACGCAGCAGATGAGTGCAACCCAAATCGTATTTGTTCCGACTGAAAACGTCGGAAAATTCCCGCAGTAGCGTTCTAAGCTGTTGGCGCTCTGAATTTGACAGGTCCGTCGATCCCGCACAAAGCGCATCGAGCCACCCTTCATCGCTGTCCGAATGTGGGTGCGGCCGGGTAGCAGTGCCGACATGATTCGCAACCGGTTCCTCGCAGGGCACCGGCGTCGCGTGCGCAAGCACCGTCCCTTGAGGAACTACCACTGTTTGCGACCCCACATTGAGGACCGCGATGAAAGGGTCCCCGTCCCCCTCACGACGGTCAGGGCCGGAATCAAATGCGGTCCACTAACCCCGGCCCTAGACGGTCCTAGCAGAATTCCCTGGGCCCCAATGCCCTCAGCGAAGGGCCGACGAAGTTTTAGAGGCACTAACATTTGAGCTCCCGGCGGCACACGAACTGTTTTAACGACGGACGCTGGTATAGTTACGAACGCCGTCCGAGTCGCAGTAGGTGAAGGCAGGAACGCCATGCGCCGTCCCGACGGGAGCTCAATGCATCCCTGGTCTATTAAAATACGAATCGGCATTTTGCCCAAGAAGTCCGTCCCCAGCAGGCACGGAACCGCCAGCGAGGAGGAAACAAAAATCGGGCCCGACAATTTGATATCCCCGATACAAATTTGCGCTCGAATCTGTCCAATGATGCCAAGGGAGCCCCCGTTAGCGGCATAGAATGGGACGTTAACCGGCAGTAAAGGACGGCTCTGGACAGGTAAAATGTTGTAAATTAGTTCGGAAATGATGGTCGCCGATGCCCCCGTGTCGACCAGGATGCGTACCTCAACCCCGTCAATGTGTCCCACGACGGCCGACGACCCCGACGACGCGGCCACAACGCGATGGGCTAACACGGACCACTGCCCGGGTTCGATTTGAGTCCCCACAGTGGTGCGTGTTGGCCCGTCGCAGCGCAATGTCGGCCCCCCGTTCGTTACGGTGCGAGAGTGTGCGACAGGTGTG